CATTTCTAAAATATATTTCACTGAATGTACTTACATGTATACTGATTAGAACTGGGTAACCAAAAGAATTTGGATACTTGAAATAATAAAAAAAATAATGATAATTGTAAAACTCATTTTGATTTGTCGATTATTTTTGTAAATCATGTGACTAATCAATTAAGATCAACAACTTAAATTAACAGAAAATGATAATGAGAAATCATAATGACAATTTTTTGATCACATGGATAGTTGGAATAATCAGAAAGAATAATAACTGGGAATATTAATTTAGATTAGTTGATTATTTTTGTGGCATTAATTGATTTAATCATAATTTCTTTTAACCCTATTGCTACAGGTCAAAGGCCAAGTCATACTGCATTTGTTGACTCGGATTCAAAATTTTATTGAACTACTATTTTATGAATGCATGTCAATAAGTTTGGTATCAAATTGTAAATTATAATTCAAATTTTAGCATGATCCATTAGTTAATTTCTTAATTTAAAAGTAACTATTAAAAAAGAAATCCTAAATATCAATTTTTGTGTGTCATGTAGTATGTTGAATGCAGCATTGGTTCAAATTAGATATTTGTGATGTTCAAAGTCTATAGTTTTCTACGAATTAGGAACTCAAATTACCAATATTAACAAGCTAGAAGCTTCTGTTTGCTGAGATATCGCTCATGTACTGAATCAAACAGTGGCCCCACCCTCCTCTTTCCATTTTTGAAAATGCTTACGTACATCTACGTCTGTCTAGGACGTGTGAACAACCAATCGAAAGCTCAGAATGTTATCCACATGGTTCCCTGAGCCTTTGAAAAGTACTAACGTGGGAAACCACTTTTCTTTTTTTTTTTTCATGGCAGATTTCAAATGATAATGTAAGTCTTTAGTGAACTCGAAATTTCATATTTTTTTTAGACCCAAATACAGCTTAGTGACTTAGCTTGATAAATTATAGTGGAATTCTATTGTATTGATATAGTAATTTATTATTTTTAGCTTTTTCAAAATGTACGTATCAAACCATATCCACGTGCGGAATTTGATACGGCTTAGCAACCTATGGCAAGGAGTAAATGAGGTCAAAGTTTGTAACTAGAAGCAGTAATTATATTCTATAATTCTTTATTTACTGTTCTATGTTTTAAGAAAAAATAACTGAAATTTAAGAACTTGTTTTAAATAGTAATAATGTATATACATATATAATATATTAAAACTGAAATGTGACTGTATTTTACAAAATACTGGTCCACTAAAACACAGCCAAGACCAGTTTTATATTCTTGAATATGGTAACATGAGTGCACGTGTGCCACATCGTTGCAACTTCTATAATATTAGCCAGGCACGGCTGAAAGGTCAATATAATAAAAATAATAAATATATACGAATGTATAATGTTATGAAATTTGAGCTATTTAGACTAAACATTTTTGTTTTCGTGTTACAATTTGTAGTCATTCTAGAATGAAAAAAAGCATATTTATGTTTATTTCAGACATTATACTGTATTCAGGTCAAACCAAGTAAAAAGTAATAACAATGAAGGTAAATATGTATCCTTTTAAACTAACCTTTCTGGTCAATATCCATAGCATCACACAGATCTTGTCTGACAGGATGGACAGCCTTATGGCACAATCTCTGGACATTAGTAAAGGTGTCATCACCAGATAATGTTGTTAAGTCGATACAAGAAATAGCTTTCAAAAGCCAGGCAGCCTGTAATTTTAATGAAGTGTTGAAGAAACAAATAGTGAAATCCATTTATAGTACTATTATATGAGATTGAAATCTGATTTTATCATTAACATAGATAAATTCATTAATTCTTTATGTCAAATTTATCAATATCATAAGAAACCAACATAATGTCACAAATAAACCAGCTCAGTTATTACAAATAGAGTTAACAAAAGCTTAATCATAAGCAGCTTTTAAAATATATTTTAATTTGAAGAATTTTATGTTACTTTTAAATATATAATAAACTAACTGGATAACCATAAAAAATGTAGCCCAAGTTGAAAGCCAAGTATTCTTATAGTCTTATAAATTTTAAAGATAAGAAAAGTTCTTTAGGCAAATACCTATAGAAACAAATGTATGTATGTATGTACTGCATATCAATTATGTTTGGTGTTCATTAATATTGCAGCTGACTGTTAATCAGATTCCTAAAATAAAGTATAAAAGTTGGAGGTCGAAAGGTGAAGCCCTTGATAATATAGAGCATTAATTATGTAATGTATTTCTACGCTTAGGCTTCTAATAAAAAAAAAGTTTTAATGCTAGATCTTATTATCATATTGCCTAGGTTATGGTTTCCCACTGAAATTGGCCTCAAATGCCAATTTGATTGCTTCAATGATGCAGAGTGGTCAAGGACATTTTGTGAATTAATTAAAAACAACATATTCAAGATTCCATTGAAGCTTCTTTAAATAAAGGAAAGTTGAAATATTTGTTACGTACTAAATTAATGAATTTGTCAGCTCATTGGGGTAGTTTTTACAAAATAAGTAAATTCCATGCTTTTTCTTCTAAGAGGTGCCTTAAAAATAGTATCTCTAATTTCCAGAAAGTTATTTCCCTATTATATATTTTACTTAATCAGTTATACAGTGTTCTGAATTGGCACTCAGTTTTTTCTGTGGTCTTCCATATATGCAGAGATAGATGTCTGTCTAATTCGATAGTTTATAGTTCAGTAGATTAAGAACACACACACACACACAAATAATGAAGTACCACCTGTAAAATTAATTTAGAAGCACTCAGTGCTAAAATAAGATCAAGAAGAACTTAGGTCTTCGAAGATCAATTTGTAGGAAGATTAAATAAGAACTAACAAAAAGGTATACTTGTGATAGGCTTATATTATTCTTTTTTGATTAATTACAAGTAAGAACAACCGAGTGAAAAAGAAACAAATGCAAAATATTATGTCAATTCACTATATCTTAAAACCTGAAACTTAAAAAATATTTTGCTAGTTAACTTAAGTCTATAGTAGCTACAAGCCCAATCCACAAATTCTGATCAATCACATTTTATAAAACAAAGCTTAGAAATAAGATACAGTTGAGGGTACTAGAAAATCATTTCATACAAGTTACAAAGCAATAAAATGTAAAGAAATTATACCATAAATTGGATAAAACTACTCTAACAATCACTATTTTTATGTAATGTGTACTCTAAATAAGTCTAATATAACCCATATTTTATTATACTAATAAGTTATAAACACAATGATTACTAAAGAAAAATAAATGAAATTTAAGAAATAGAAATTACTTTAGAGCTTAACCAACTGGCAAACTAGAAAGAACCATTGGTCACACTTCCTGAGTTACTCTCACATTTAGGTTGAATCAATTCCTTTATTTTATTTTTAAATAATATTTTCAAGTACATAATATAGATTCACGAGGCATAATGACTAATTACATTATGATACCACAAGTTGCATAACTGTTTTGAGGTTATAACATTACTATCACACCTGACATTCTTTCTTCACAGCTCGGCGAGTAGGTATAGCCTCTGCTCGACGTTTAACTGCTGACAAGTTGATATTAATTCGTTGAACCCAGTCGAGGTCTTTAATTTAAACATTAAAAAAAAGGTTAGTATACTAGTATTTGGCCTATTCTAATTTCTACTCTACTCTCTCTAGTACTCAATATTTGGTAAATTCAGTAATTGGTGAAACAATGCATTCTATTTCTAGTAAATATAAATAATATGTAGTTTGAGCACTACATTTAATTAACTATGCTTGCGCTTCTTTAGTTATCATCTATGTGATTGTGAATAGCTTGCCCCGAGTTTGATCAGAAGTTGATAATATTAGTAATATATATAACTATAATTTACGACTTAAGTTATAACATAATTTTTACAATTTAATCTTAAGTTACAATCATGAAATTTAAACATAACGGTATACCAACAATAACAAAAAAGAAAGAAATCACTGAAATGTTTTAAGAAGTCACAGAAAAAAATCATAACTGATCGTATTGTTTTAATATGCTCTTCACTATCTTAGCATAAAGTTTATTCGTCATAAAACGAAAAGACTCGCCCAATACACTCCCAGGATTTCTAGCCGCCATTTTAAGATAGACCTGCGTACTTAGTAGTTTTAAGGGTCTATTTGCGCAATAAAATACAATTGCAAATTTGCTTTGAAAAGCATGAGAATGAATTAGATAAAAAAAAAAAAGGTTACTTTAAGGAGAATTTTATGATAGCCTAAGCTATTGTATACGTGTTATATGAGCATAATCTGTTGTTTCTTCCAAGAAATAGCTACCGTATTTTTCGGAATATAAGACACACCGGTGTATAAGGCGCACCCTTATTTTGAAGACAAAGTTTTGGGGGGAAAAAAGCTACAGTCGCATTTGAAAGATTTTTATTGAACAAAAATTCAATTTGATACTTTAGAAATTAGTATACATTGTTCTAAACTCGAAAGAGCTCAAAATAAGAAAATACCGTAAATCATAA